CATTAAGACGCATGTTGCATGACACTGACTGGCACCGGTTCGTTGGTGGAATGTTAGACGTTACTGTCTTCAATATCACTTGATATCTGATTGGACATTTGCTGTTCTACTGAAATACACATTACAAGATTTAATAGGATCTTCTCTGCTCACTAGGATGGAAGATTGGAAGTGAGAGAGCGAATCTGTACAAGTCACATGATAATGCTGTTGTTCGAAGAATAAACTCTCTGATGAAGTCTGAAATACAAGGACCGAACGGGATACACTATGAAAAGTGTTCATCTTGTAAGAGTGCATCAATCATCTGGAAACCTTTTCATCAACTCACAGGCAGAAAGCAAACTTCATTTGATGCTTATTCTGCAGTTAAATTCTTAAATTAATCTTTAATAATGCAACAAGTAAGTATTTTTCAACCTCATATTATTTATAAATACAACATTATCTTACTTCCTTTTCCTTTTCTCTCTCCTACTCTTTCTTCTTTTCTCCTTTATGTGCTGCTTTGTTTCTTTCTTCCGCTTACGCCAGTAAATATGATATCGCCTACTTTTCTAACACCTTCAAACAATGTTCAACTTTCGCTTTGCTACCGACATGCCAATATGTTGTTGTCATAATGAACTGAGATTTCCTTACTCTATGTAGAATTCTATTTATTGATAATGTACTAACTGGATGCAATACTGTAGTAAAAATGCTGAGAATTCCATTCTGTATCACGACTACTGTTTTGGAATAAAGCAAATTATTATTATTATTATTATCATCAAAATACACAGGAATTTGACGAAGATGATAAGAAGTATTTCATCAGGTCTTATACTTATACTGTGATAAAAACAACAAAGTGGTACGAGGAGGAAACAGACTACAAGTATTATTACTCTCTCATACGTAGACTGGTGATCATTGATTATGATTATTCTTTAGCTGGTGGCCTAATTACTAAAAACTATCATCGTACGATTGAACATGCCACGTTTGCAACAAGCAAAACAACATTGTTTATTTATAGCTAACAGGAATTTCAAAGGTCACTTTCTTATTCACTAATTTGGTTACTGAATCTTTTAGAAGCTTACTTTATATACAATTTAAACTATCCGGATCTAGAAGAGTAGTGGTAATTTCAGTTGTCTTAGTAGTAATACTGATTGTCGCTGTTATGGTGACGAATGGCCACACGAAATTGAGTGAGCATTGATGCTGGTTTCGTCTTCTCTCTCTTCTTCCTATCAAGAAGGGAGATAGATGATAAACTCGTTGGAAGTTCCGTGAGCTCACTCCATATTGAGATATGCGGTGAGGGAAGTGAATGTTTCACAAGTGAACCATACAGTTAAGAGATAGTTGTCCGCAATAATTGTTTGCTAAATGCCTGCCTCCTCAACGATGTAGCTGCACTATTCATGCTAACTTTGAAATTTCAACGAACTCTGTAATTATTCTTGTATTTTCTCTGAGGTTGTATTTATACAACACCGTCCCATGGCTTGCATATCACCTATTGACTTATCCTCATCATTTGTCTTTCTTCTTATTTCACTTCTAATTTTATTTGGAATGTAAGTCAAACTGTGTGCAAGTTATTGTAGTGTTCAATGAGTATAACTGGATGATTAAAACAACAGGCAATTTAGAAGAATTTCACCCAATCCTCCGTTCTCTGAAATATACACCTAGTCTTTGTATAATGTTCACTGCATTGCGTTTCGCCCATCCACCAAGTGGAACTTGTACTATTCACACGAAAGTTTTCTTGCACTACTACTTATGTTGCATGACACTGACAGGCACCGGTTCGTTGGTGGAATGTTAGACGTTACTGTCTTCAATATCACCTGTTATCTGATTGGACATTTGCTGTTCTACTGAAACACTTATTACGAGATCTGATAGGATCTTCTCTGCTTACTAGGATGGAAGATTGGAAGTGAGAGAGCGAATCTGTACAAGTCAGATGATAATGCTGTTGTTCGAAGAATAAACTCTCTGATGAAGTCTGAGATACAAGGACCGAACGAGGTACACTATGAAAAGTGTTCATCTTGTAAGAGTGCATCTATCATCTGGAAACCTTTTCATCAACTCACAGGCAGAAAGCAAACTTTATTTGATTCGTCTTTCTTTGTTTCAATAATTCGGTTAGCTGCAGCTCCGTCTGTTCAGTTGCATCTTTTGAATCGTCTGTGTTTTCAAATTTGTTGTAATCAGATAGATAGATAGTCTGACTTGTCGAGCAGAACAATTCCAGAAAATTCATTTTGTCGACTGATTATCTGGCTTTCATTTGATTTCAATTCATTGAGTTGCTTTCGATTGTCTTTCGAGAGCATATTATGAAGACTAGGTTTTTGTTGATGTAATCGAGGCAGGAATTCGAAATGGTTGATTTGAAATGTTCTGCAGTGTCATATGAGATCGGGACCAGATCATTCGTCTGACCAATCAAATTCTCGAGCTACACTTTGGTATTCAAGTAGTTTACTTCTGACGGTGCATCACAAAACTTCGGTCCAAGCGACAAGAGTTGCATTTGAATCGGTGAAACTGAGACATCAGAATATTTGAATACATATTTCTCAGGAGAAGACGGAAAAGCTGTTTTCTTGGTGACGGATTTTAGGCTCTGGTTAAGTTTCGTAATGATGTCGTCCTTTCTCTTATCTGTAACTTTATTGGCGTAGTTCCATTAAGGGTAAATTTTATTTTGATAGAGTCTCACAGTGTTATACAGTAATATTTACTGATGACGTTTCGAGCACAGTTTATCGCTCATAATCATATCACTTTGATATGATTATGAGCGATAAACTGTGCTCGAAACGTCATCAGTAAATATTACTGTATAACACTGTGAGACTCTATCAAAATAAAATTTACCCATAATGGAATTACACTCTACCACAGTGCCCAAGTTTCATTCTTATATCAATGATACTTATTGGCGTAGTGCTGGAATGACGAACTCTCATGAACAGTCAGATCGTATAGAAAGTGTGAGTTCATTGAGATACTGTGTTCTAGTTCAGCTAGGCTGAATAGAACAGCATCAATGTCAAATCTTGGTGTGTATTCTCAGTTTTGAGAGAATTGGGAGAAATATGGATCCGTCTCAGATATTTTCAGAATGCTTTCAGGTATTCAACCTGCATATACCAGTTTACTCATTCGTGAGGAGCTGAGTACATCGACCGTACCATGCGCCAACTTGCAAAACGCGCTCGTGAACAATATCCAGCCCGGCTAGTAAAGGAGAACGAAAATTTGTCAATAGTTCAGTGACAGAACATCTGGTCAATTCAGGACATTCAGCGTCTTTCGAAAAATCCTTCAAAATCGTATCCAAGATTCGATCAAACCTATCAAAGGGAGTGAAATCAAGACATTTGGGCATAGCCGAGGCACTAGCCATCCAAATACTCAAACCCACGCTGTGTATCCAAAAGAAATACGTTCAACCCTTGTCCTTGCCATGGCCATCATGAACAGGTAATTCTTTCGATAGTGACTATCCCATTGCCTTTCTTATCCAAACTTCTTGTTTATTCATGTTATTTTAAGTTTTTCCTAACGCCTATTTACACTACCATATTTTCATATTCGAACTTCCTGTCTATTTTGTCATTTCACTATTTCTTCATATTTAATCCCTGATTGCATAAACAATTATTCCTCACATTAGTTATGATCTCACCAGAGTTTTTATCCAGACATCCTGTCTATTTTGTTGTTTCTACATTTCTAATCCCTAATTACACAATATGTCAATCTTCTCAGTAATTATGATGCTACTTTGTTTGAGTTTTATCCATCCCCCTGTTTATTATTGTATTTTAATTCCTAATCGTAATTTTATTAGGTTGGTTGATCTTTGACTGTAGATTGTTCTGAGACTTTCTCACTCATTTATTATGTAATTCTACTAATTTCACCTTTGACCTGAAATATTTCTAGGATAATACTACAACATATCTACCTTAGTATATTCTCAATCCGATCTTCGCGTTTACTACACCTTATAATTTAATTAACTTTACACGTTACCGAAAATGATGCTGGAACATTCCCACCCATTTACTATAAATACACGAATGTAGAGCCTAGTTGATGACTTCGTCGAAAAGACAATTTTCTTCGCCGCAACCGTCATTTCATTATTCCCTATGATCAAATGTGTATACTACATATGTATATATATATATACGGTTGTGCAGCTTGATAACCAATTGTTTGAAAACAGTCTCTTCGCTTAATCACTCGCTTTCACTTTCTAAATATCCAAATGTGATTTTCCAAACGAGACGTTCGTTTTGCAATGCAGATTATTTCTGTTGGTGCAGATATTGTCTCGTCATCCTGCTATTAGTGCATTGTGCCTTGAAATGACAGAAATCTCGAGATTAGTGAATAAGTGACTAGCGTAACTGGTGCCAGCAATTCTAGCTGCAACCATACCACCTCAGTGCTACGAACAAGATCAGTACCGCCAAATACTTGAATTCCTAGTGTGGAGGCGTCGATATCCAGTTGCATGGCAGCCTATTGAGTCACATCTTGTTGAAATGAAGTAAATTCCAATTCTCGCATACATTATGATCATTGAGATGGTCAGTAAGCAGTGCCGACGCTAATGATACGATAAAACTAATTCGGCTGATCTCCATGACACCATTACCATTTAGAAATCTTTCTTACTGATGAACTGAAACGCTGAAGTATATACAACATTATGTTAAGTGTGAGTTTATTAACGTCAATGAGTATGCAAATGACTCCGACTGTGAACACCTAATCCATCTGATCGGTCAGAACAATTAAAATATTTGAACAATAAAATTGTATTTGGAAGACAGGCAGTGAGCGTTAATATGACAGTGAATTATTCAGTTAAAAGTGTGTCATGAAATCTTCTGGACAAGAGTACATTTTAATATCGTGCAGAATACACGTTTCACATGGCAGCAGGAGTCATATATTGTTCGCATTCTTCTCTAGTTACTTCCTCCCATTCCTGTGGAGAAAATAAAAGCAGATTAGCATTAAGGATTTGATGAGAAAGCAAACAACGCTGATTGTTATGAGGGTGTATTGGGAAAGTCTGACATGATTCAAATCGAATTGACCACAACTGATGTTCAACTGAGAAGAAGTTGTCGGTTGGGTTTCGGTAAATGCCAAATCTGTGATACATTGCCTGATCCTCTTCAAAATACTAGATGTGATTTCATATGACATGAATAAACAGGTGATCCACCGAATGACACAACTCTTGTCCCCAATTTTAAGATACAAATAATGTTGTATTCACATGGGCTGGATTTAAATCTCAGCTATACATATTTAAATATAAAGACGGATGTCAGTTGCTCTTATCAGTCAATTTCTAAAGGTTAAATATGTGGGTAGTTCGTATGAAATAGTAGGTAAATCTTACGTTTCATCTTCTCGATGGAAGTTTCATAAATTTTATTGAACACTTGAAATTGAAAGAGCAAAATGAAGGTGACGTATTAGTTGAAGGAAAGTAAGCCTTGTTCATCACTGTGTAAATAAATCCCTTCTCCCGCAATAGATAAAATCTGATTGGCGGCACTAAAATGCAATGAATGTGTTTCTTGTATACACGTTTTTTTTTTGATGGAATTTCTTATTATCACTGTCTCCTTAATTGACTTATTTGGCTTGCAAACACTCAAACTGATGGAGTTGCTGCTTCACATTTTCACGCTGCATAATAGAGTAGTAGCCATGCGTGTATGTGCTTTAGCTTCTATGCAATTAATATGTCGCCTTCGGACACATTTTGACGATTTCCATCTGAAAAGTGATGCGTTAGTGGACATTTCAGATTATCCCTTATTTTTTTGCGATTGATAGACATTCTTCAGCGAATAGACACCTATATACTACTAAACGTTGTGTACCGACTAATGGCTGATGCACAGTTCTCAGGGAACCTTAATATATTTTAAGACAAATATATTATTGATTTCAGTTGTGAATACATTACCATTTTCAAGGGAACAATGTTCACATGATGCACATGAGTTATGCGTATAGTACGACTGCTGATAACACAGAGTGTCAGGTCGTACAGAAAGGCGATTGTCTACTCGCATGATGGAGCATTTGCCAAAATGGTTGAAAACAGCTGAGTGAAAAGTGCCAAAATCCTCAATAACAAAGCATCTTGTGGATTATGGGCATGATATCGACGCGGTCAAGTCATTCACTATTGTCAGCAGACAAAGAAACAAGAAGATGCTTGCAATTGCAGAGGCTTGGGCGATTCGAGTTTACAAACCAGGTCTCTGTGTACAAAAGGAGATGGTCGGGACTCTGAATCTACCATGGTAATACGTTTTACTTATAATTCTACCTCTTATTATTATTATTCTCATTATGATTATTCTTGATTCATTTAAAACTATCCTTTATCAGTAGGATTATCTTAACTCACTTCAACACTATTATTATTATTGTTATTATAACTATTACTGTTGACATCCCTCTGGTTGCAATTCTTGTTAAATTCTCTAATGTCTAATTGTTTATCTAAGGGATATAATTGAAGCGTAATGCAATTTAACTTAATTTGGATCTCCCATACTCTCTCTCCCCTTATCTAATTGAACATGACCTGGAAAAACATTCGCACCTGTCTTTCTGCATGACTAATTAAATGTAGTTTATTTGTGCTTATCAGTCCTATATCCCCCAATGTAATTTCAAAAGTATATATATATATATATCCGTGTATGTAGAGTACTGAGCAGCTGACGAGTTCTACCGAAATTTGATGAATTCATTAAATCCTGCTTTATTAACCTGCTTTGTTGCTTGTTTTAAATTCATATCGGGAAATAAATGTTTCCAATTCTTTGTTATTTGCATTTGTGAATAGATGCTGATGTATGTATGTATATATGGAGTGCATAGAACCCATGAACAAAACAGTTTGAACTTACAAATGGCTTTACCATAAAGCATTCTGTAGTAGTATGAATATTCCATGTGCTGGTGCAAATTCTCAATATCTGAAATTTTTGTAAGATAATGCCTACACTTTAAAAAAAGTGAATGTCAAAGAATTAAGTGGTGGAAAGTGATCATGCAGATGGAACTGCGGGGGCATCGATTTTCTCCTTTGTAAAACCATGTTGGTAAGTGCTTGGTGATACGTTTGGAAAGCGAGCGCTTAGAACATCTGATAGAGTCCGGACACCAAGCTACACCGCAAACAAACTTCAAAGTCGTCTACAGAGTAAGAAGTAGTCTCCCTAAAGATGTACGAATCAGATTTCTTCAAACTGCAGAAGCAATAGCGATTCACTTGCTAAGTCCTGAACTCTGCATACAGAAGAAGTTCGTTCAATCACTACACTTGCAATGGATGTAATCTATCTTATTACCCGACAAGTAAATTCTACCTAATCTCTTTTTTTTTCTGTCTCTTCATTTGTATTATTTTGTCTTCTCAATTGTAATATCTTACATTTTCATCTTTCTTGTTCTCTACCCCCACCCGATTGAATTTCTACACCTCACTACCACTGTTACTGACTTTAACAACGCTCAGTTTCTAGTCATTCATGTTACGTCATCCAACTTATTCACTCAATTTCACTTTTACTTAATCTCTACCTGTAATTACCTCTGTTGCTATCCTGACCTAAGTTGTAACATTTAAGTCAATTATATTACATCATCTAGCTTAATAACTCAATCTTACTTTAGTTGCTGTCTGATTAACATTGTTTCTATATTAGATCATTCTTGTATTAACTAATCAATTATCTAAACTTGACAAATCTCATGTACATATACACACACAAATAATTATATATAAATGCGATTGTACAGCTATGTGAATGAATTCGCTGTCGAAAAGAGTCTCTTCGCTGAATGTCTTCTCTTTTTCATATGACTCAATGGGGAATTTCAACTTCATCATTATCATCTATCTGTTATGTCAATGTACAGAGGTGTTTGAATTACATCAACTGCAGTCTCGACTACATCGAAAAGACTCGCAGACTTCAGACTTCAAGTCATTACCGTTCACAGGTGTAATTTGTGATAGGGAGCTTGAAAGTGAAGCAGTCTAATTTTTTACACTTGATAATCAATCCTGCACATTGATAGTTCCAGTTCACTTGTAGCACTACCAGATTGAGCGGTAGGTGAAACAAACTGTGAAACAAACTCCTATGCGAATGCATTTGACTTTTGAAAATTAACATCTTCCGATGCATTAATTTTACATAATTTATTTTAAGTATAGGTTATCAGTTATCGATTATTACCTTGTTCTTCTGATGACGGTCTATACTGTTCACAGTTGGCTGATGGTGATTGAGCTGATGAATAGAAAAACAGAGAGAGAAAGAACAGGCCATTGAAACGTCAAGGAGGCAAACATTCACTGAACTTATCAAACTTATTATCAAATACTCATGCAACTACAGACCTATTGAATAAAGAAAAACATCACACAAATCAATATGAGTTGGGTAATTAATATTGAGAAAACAAATCTCCACTCCTAACTGTTTGCTTTGTATCTAAAATTATCGGGAGAGTTCGAAACCAAAAATTTACTCCAACGTAACAGGTAAGATTAGGTAGGAATGTTTAATGGGTAAGTAACAAAGGGAAAGAAGAATACAAAGTGAAACTGTTTACCGTTTAAAGTACTAGCTTCTTGCTGGACACATTCTAGAAGAGGATACTCCTCTCCGTAAATACCTAAATGTAATGTAAATGTATTTCAAAAAAAAACAACATATAATCTCATATAAAAGTAGTGTTAGATAAATGTGTGAATTTATCTCCTGAATGGTGAGTGGTGGTTCATGGGCTCTTATGGGATATATTCTAAAACGATGGTAATTGTCCTCGATATCTCTGATTTCAGATTGTGCAGTTACACACACACAGACTGATGGATGTTTTGCATAAAATGGCCAGTAAAATATATGATGAAAATTCCCATGAGTTTCGTGTGTGGTGGAAGAATGATTGCTGGCAGTGAATAGTAATAATTCCGATCAACTGTTGAAGTAGTAATTAAGGAAGTGTTTTGGATGGAGTGATCTGAGAGAGAGCATGAAAAGTTGATATGATGGATGGATGATAAGTGGAGGGTGAGCATTATGCAAGTCGAATATGTATTGATTACTTACTTTACTTTACTTCGGCTATCTCCTACGTGAGAATGAGCCGGCTTCATGAACATCTCGAATCATCGCTGCCCAGGCGCGGCGATCTGATGCAAGGTTCTGCGACAAGGTTATCCAATTCTTGTTCCACAGACGGAGTCCGTAGATGGTTTGTAGCCCCAGGCACTCCATATCAGCCTTGACTGTACCAAGCCATGTTTTCAGCTGTCCACCCCTGCGATCGTTTGTAAGAGAGTTCATGAAGTTTCATGGGAATTTGGTACGAGTGATGTCCCCAGAATCGCTCGGCCTTTTGTTTGAGAGTGCAGCTCTAACCTTTACACAACCAAGTGTGACCTACAAGACAGTAGGAGTGGAGTAGGGAGTCCACTATCCATTGGCAGCCGGTGACCGGAGTTCGGTTCATACGCCTTTTTCAATGGGGCCAGACATCCAGGACATCCAACAAGCCCTTTGTCCATACGTCTGCCGGTGAGCTCCAGTGAGCTTCATACGCCAGTCGTTGGAGGTTTGGGATCAGGGTTTAGCCATCTCCCCCAGAATGTCATCCAATGGACAGTCAACCCGGTGAAGAGCGCCGGGCATCCGCTTTCGCCCTCTCACTTTGGTGAAAAACACCTCCGCCACGTGTAGGTAGTGAGTAGGACTTCTTCAGGAGAGGCTATGTAAGACGCCCGGTCATATGGGAGCATTTCAAGAGGTGTGCGGAGGGGTGGCCAACCCGCAGCGCAAGGCACCCACCCCGACCATCCTGAGGCTTTGGAGGCATGATGCCGAAGGATAACTTCAATGCTTGAATGCAGTAGTTTCTTATCACATGACATGTATTAAGGTCTGTTAATCACATTATGTGTAAATATACCAATGAGTAACACTGATAACACATTAAGATAGGTTATTCCTTGTCAAATTTCATGTGGTTTTCACTGTCAAACAGATTTGACGAATGGTTTTCAACTCTGAAAACTTTCTCAACTCTCAAATTATATACTGGATGCAGACAAAAAGTGAAAGCAACCATACACACACACACACAAAGTCAGTTGACAGAAATTCAATTTACCATTATCTTCAGGTGGCTGTCTAAGTTTCTTTGCGACATCTGAAAGCACACAGAAAATGACAACTGGCATTGAGAGAGTATACAAAAGAATAATTTCTAATGCAGAATTCATCAGCGAAATTTACGTGGAATTACTGTACAACTAACTGCCTAACGCCATGGTATGTATGCTCAGGAATAATTCACCAATCGCTTCTACTGATTACCAAATGAAATTTATTACGCCTTATTGCATCTAAAGATTCAAGTGATTCTCTTCAAATGTTTATTTCAAGTTTCACTCTGTTTCCACTCGTCTTCGCAGTGAATATAATCAACATCGATTCAGAGAATACTTCCTTCCATTGGAATGGCTAGTTAACGTGATTTTTGATTACTGCTCAAAATTGGCGCCTGAGCGCTTGCAATTGATGCATGATTTTACAGTTTTGAGGAACCTGGATCAAAACTGAATGATCAGATAATTTGTAGGTTAAACTGGGTTGTAGACTAAAGAAAGTTGATAACACGTCTCCAAGAAAGCAGAAGTGAAATTCCCTAGACATGTATCCACCTCAACAACGTCAAACCATCACATTCATCTCAACACCAAATCAGTGAGTAATCTCATTTAGTAACAGTGTAGTTGCACCGTTGCAGGATCTCACTGGAGTGTTTTTTGGGTTGCAACTCTGTCATCTCTAACCAAAATGTGGAATGATTTATACAACAGCAATAACCCACACTCATGTGATAACCATGTGAATAAAAGTAGTATATATATAGTTGAAATAAATCCTGAAACACACCTTTATATAGATCTAGTCCATTGCTTTTTTCATAATCCTCTCGCCAACAATTGATATCTGGAAGAGTTTGTTAGCCATTGGAATTCGAAAAAAAAATTTAACTCACAGTTCTCAGCGCTCTTGTTGCCTGTTTTCACAGCTCCATTATTCATCTTAACTAGTAAAAGAGAGTAGTGAGAAGATCGACTGAATTGAAGCCAGACACCTATACAAAATTTGATATTCACTATGTAGAGTAACCGGGAGTAAATTTGCTAATATTGGAGCATAGCTACACGCACGGTGCTGTATTGATTTTACACTACAGATTGAATGTCATGAACATGAACGTGTGAAGGTTTTTCGAATGGAGCGAATGTGAATGAATATATGAGGTGAATTGAGAAATCAGGTAGATGCATGTTGATGAGTTCATCATTTTTCGCGTGACATTGACATGGTTTCCTCACTTGAATAAGTCTCATGTCAAATGAATTCATGTATTCTCAATATAGAAAGGCAAAACATTTATGCGAAACAGCCTACGGGGGAAAATCTCCTAAAAAAATACAACACAAATATCTCAAGCAAACACGAGATGCAGAAATCGAGTAGACCACTTAGAACAATTAATCACATGAAATCTTTGTTTTTACCTTTTATCTGTTTAATCGCTTTTTCATTGTCGCTAATAAGAGAAGCTAAATTTGGTAATGAATCTGTGAAGGAGAAAGTGGGAACTATTTTGAATGAATTACAGGAGAAGGAGTTTAGAAGCAACAGGATGTGACGAAGCATCGAGAACCAGTACTTATAGAAAAGCTTATGTAGGATAATATAAGAAAAACTAGATATATCCATCCATATAAAGTCGGTCGTCTTACCTTGAGACTTCTTAAGCAAACTTTCAATATGTCCTAACTTTGACGATTCGCCTTGAAAATTGATAAAGTGAAGAGAACAGCGATTATTATAAGAATCCGACACTTTGATAACACGTAAATACGATGTAAGAAATTGTTCATTTCAAACGCCTGAATAACCATGTGAGTATTTGGTGTGCTTGATTGCAGATCTGTAACACTCTACGTAGCAAAACGTCAGCTGGAGTATTCAACGTCTCTGAGAGTATAGAATGGAATGTTTACGAAAATTAACAGAACACCAGCACCGCCGAGGTGATGTGATAAGGTGATAGAGAAAATAGTGTGTTCGAGACACAATCAGTTTTCGGTCAGAAACAGGGCGACGGAATAGCCTTACATAATACTGTCAGGATAAAACAGTAATTTTCATCATAATGTAAAACAGGTTAATATGTGAATAGATTGAGTCACAAATGCACAGTCATTTTAAAATATATACTCACCTCTGTATATGCTGGCAAATACCAGCAGCGTTATCACAGATATGTAACTGTACATTGAGCTGAACATATTCTCTTTTTCCTTCATTTTGTCTGGCTTTACTCTCCAACTTTTATACTGTTCCTCGTGATTGGTTAAACCGTTGTAATCTGTTGGTTGGTTGATAAAAATAGTAGTGCTTATTTTGTTTTTCATTTGTTAAAATAGATCAGTGTGGTCAGTAATTGTTAGTGAATGATTCAGTGAGTGAGTGCGTGAGTCAGTGGGTAACTGAGTGGATGTTTCGCATCACTACCTTGACCTTGGCGGCCTGTTTGAACATTTTGGGCTACAATATTCCATGTACTTTTTGCATCTATTTGATCATATTTTGTTGGTGTTTACATTTAAAATTATGCATTCTAATCGTATTATTCACTCTCGGGATTATATTAAATGCTTATAACCTAAAAACTTTCATATATGCAATAAACTCAAGAAAAAGCACTATGGTGGTTGGCAACGTGCTTTAAAATCTACACCCATACATCAAACCAATGTTCCGGTTATCGTTAGTACCAACTGCCGGTCACTGCCTAACAAAATTCTGGATTTTCAGTCCCTGTTGTTATCCGAAACTTGTCACAATACTGGTATTGTCACTCTACAAGAAACCTGGCTTCATGACTCATATGATGACAATATAGTATCTTTAAATGATTTTAATGCATTCCGACAAGACCGTGTTTGTTCCGAGAAAAAATGTGGCGGAGGTGTAGCTACATTTATTCACTCAAAATGGTCCATTTCTAACAAATTTTGTTTCAAATTCTCGAATGACTACATTGATTGCATCACTGTCAGATGTCGCCCGAAACACTTGTCAAAATACAAATTCATTTATATTTCTAATGTTTATGTCTCTCCTGCCTGTACCATATCGGATTTATCTATGTTCGGAGTTGAATTCACCGCTTTTGCTGCAGCTTGCTTCGAGAACTCCTTATCAATAGTGACTGGCGATTTTAACTCATGTGATCACTCCTTCCTTATATCACTTGGCCATGAGAATATTGTTAACTTTGCTACCCGTCTCGAAAAAACACTAGATCTAGTATTCATCAATGATGTTCGTATATATGAAGCTCGCAAACGTGCTCCTGTACTTAACTCTGACCACTGCATCATACGTGTACTGCCTAAAATATATTCCAAATCACACAAATGTGTCTTCTCTCACCTCTACAGTAAATTTCAACGGAGATGCTACTCACAAGACAACCTAAGCAAACTCAGATGCATGTTGAAAGATACTAACTGGGACCTATTTACAGAACAAACATTAAATGACACAATCACAAACACTACAGATTATCTTAAATTCTGTTTCGAAACACGTTGTTTAAAGAAACATTATTCACTCGATTTGACCGTTTCTCTTCTCCATATCTCAGAAAGCTACGTAAAGATAAAGAACTATTGTTCAAAACAAATGATAAGTCAGGTGTAAAAAAGCTAAATACTCTGAAAAAACTCGAAATGCACAGACTAAATGTTTTATACAACCAAAGATTCTTGTCATGTAAAACCCCTTCTAGTTTGTGGAATCTTTTACAAGAAATAACTAGCGGTAAGCGGTGTACTTCTGTCCAATCACTTAATGTTGATAATCTTATTAAGTCTTTCATACGCTCTTCTGTCGATATCCTTCCTAATAATACAAATCACATAGACAATAATTTTAGTGGTTTTAATACCCTTGATGTGCTTAAATGTCTCCATTCTCTTAAGCCTTCCCAAAGCCTTGGTCCTGATGGCGTACCTGCCATTGTCCTCAGGAACTGTGCTGATATTTTGTGTTACCCTCTTACTAATATTTTTAATGCTTCCTTTTCCAGTAATGTTCTACCTTATGCATGGAAAAACATTAAAATTATCCCTATACCAAAACAATCTTCTGGTACCGATGTTAAATTTAGGCCTATTGCAATTACTTCTTTTTTAAAATTGATGGAAAAACTACTTTTACTTCGTCTTGAACCTTCATTGAAAGCTTTTAATGATCCTAAGCAATTTGCATATAAACATGGTAGAAGTACCTTGGATGCTGCGGTTGTCTTATATCATAATTTTGTTCCTTGTTTAGACAAAGGTGCCAAATATGTTCGTGGTGCTTTCCTAGACTACACATCTGCGTTTGACTCTGTACCTAGGGGCCTTTTATTAAATAAGCTTTCGTTGACGCACACACATCCTGGGCTAAGAGTTGGTTGCACTCTTATTTTTCTGATAGAATGCAGTATACTGCATATAATGGCAAATCTTCTTCTGCTTTGCTTACAAAAGCCGGTGTTCCTCAAGGTGCCGTCCTCTCTCCTTTTCTTTTTTCTTTCTTCCTACACTACCTGCCTCATTTAAACGAAACTAATTTTGTCAAATATGCTGATGATCTGACTGTATCACTGCCTATCACTTCCGAATTTGACTGCTCCAAACTTAATAGCTTTCTGTTGGACATCAGCAAGTGGTCTAAGTCAAATGGTCTTATGTTAGATCCTTCCAAATGTCAGGCAGTTAACTTTACCTTCAAGGATCGACGTGACATACATGAACTAGTTAGTTCCCATGATGCCTGTAGCATAGATGGCACAGAAATTGAAACCAAGTCAAGCATTAAATACCTTGGATTAGTTCTTTCCTCTAACCTTTCATGGTCATCCCACATCTTATTAATCTCTAAGAAAATGTTTCGTCTTACCTTCTACATTAAAAAGTGTTAAGACAATCAGGTATCAACCAACCTTTACTTCTGCAGTTTGTAAACTCTTGTATTTTACATATTGTGCTCTACTGCTCTCCATTAATCTTTCCTGGGCTTCTTATAAAAGACTATATCATATTACGAAGGGTATTAAATGCTGTGAGTAGGGCTTGTGGTTTGCCACTGCGTGAGCTCGCCAATACTATAGTCGAGAGACACGTAAATTCCTGTACAACGTGGGCAAAGACTGTACTGTTAGACCCTCTGCACCCTCTTTATTCACAACTATCCCCTTGTATCTCATCAGGTAGGACGAGAAGTCAATATAACAAATTATATGCTCGTACCACTAAGTACAAAAATTCTACAATACCGTATTTAGCCCGTATTTTATGTGATGAACACTCTGTTAGACGTGAAACATATAAGTTACTATGTAATTAGCATAGTGAATCGACCCTTTCATTGTTCATCTTTCTGTAATTTTATGGTATCACCCTTTCTATCGTTTAATTATAACTTTGCTATTTTTATTTTAGTTGTTATTACTATTATTACTATAATTTTATACTTTATGCGTATTTTTCTCCGCACTGCTTACAGTAATTTGCTACATAGCTGCTATAAAAACGTTTTGTTATCATTATTATGTAATGATTATTTCGTTTATTTATTCTTTGTTGTTGTAGTTTTTGAGTAAATTAGATGCAATATTGTACTGAATGCTGAAAATTCCTTGCTGTATCATTAGTACTGTTTTTGGAATAAAGCAAATTATTGTTATTACTATTATTATTAAATATTCTTGGTTTTACTCTGGAATGGATATTCTCTCTTCCTATACAACAAGTCATTCGTATTACACAATTCCTGCTTGATTTCGATGGAACTCAAGAGTGTAAGTGTAATGTTCATTCGACTGAATAACTTACTTCCGTATTTAATTTCGTAAACACTTGATTTTTAGAAGTATTTGTGGAAACGGCAATCGAATTCCAAATTATCACCACCATCACAGATGATGTCTATGAATATTCGTAACATTATTAAAGTGACTTGCAAAATGTGGAATTGCATTCATCACTTCACATATCGAAGTGTGACAAACATTCACTTGGATTACATTGTAAACTAGACTCACTCGTCGTACAATGACTTTCACTGAACATCAGTAGTTAAAGAGCAATAAATAACTTGAACAGTCCAAGTGAAGTTGCGAGAGAGGGAAGACCTTGGAACATATCTTCTGGGATGATCGATAGAAATATCACACAATACACACATCAAGCAGAAATTTTGTCAAAGGACTCAAGAGTAAGAGTAAGAATGGTATTTATATAAATTTTCAGAATATCCTGCTAACACCAGGGTTACGTGAAATATATATTCACTAGGTCTTCATTCAGATATATTACATGGAAAATCTAGGTTGATGGAAGTATCGAGCAACTCCACACACCAGCTGGGGACAAATGTGATAATCTGTGAAACACTAGACACGAATGATCTGTGGATCGTTATGGGAAAGCAAATAACAACTCGCATGAATAATCGACTGCAGAAACACTGAAGAAATTCGGAGAGAAACAAATGCGTTTGAAAGCTTAAGAAGTACCTCAGGAATACAGAGAGTGATACTGATACTGTTTCCAAGCTGATCATCACTGTTCAAATGTTGAGCAAACACACTCCAAATAACAGGTATTCATCAGTCACACAAGATGGATGATGTTTGCTTCGAATCTACTGTGGCGACTGGCATCTCTCAAATTATTACCTGATGCGTCGTTCACGTTGATCACGAGAAAAAGTTGTTCTGCCTGTAAATTAATTCAAGTGTTCATATCTAACTCAGTTAAGCGTCAATAAGATTAGTATCAACACTGTTTTATGGTTACGATGATCATATCTTCAATTATTCTTTCGATCAGCTCACAAGGGACTATCAAAGTGACGTTAGTCAATGGAGATCCCAACTTCCCCTACTTGCACCCTATCAGAGTCCTTTCTCCGTCTCGGTCTAGCACTCATATTTTGTTAACTGCATTACGATGTGGTTGACTCATTCATTCAATCCTGCTGATTCGAATAAATCCTGAAGTGTGAATCGATTTACCCAGAGTGTGAAGCTATTGATGGTCATTTTGTGACTTCTTTAGGTTTTCATTGTCTAATCACAGAAATGGAGTCAGTTGCTATCCAGCACACAATTTTCAGGGAGGAATTGAGTATATTCCTCATTCTGCTGGATTGATTAGAATATAGGCGCGAAAACTGAGAGACTACTTTGAAATCTTCTGGTTTGCAGATCATAACG